AATAAAAATAAATTAAAAAAATAAAAAAAAAAATAAATAAATAAATAAATAAATGACTCAAATAAAATGTATTTATATTTAAGAGTCAGTAGGTGGGGACCAGCAGTTGGCATAAAGGCTATGTCGCTGGACTCCCACATAATTGACTACAGTTCAAGTCCTGGACGTGTTCGCTTCAACTCATGCTGGGTGCGTGTGCGTGCGTGCCCAAGATCCCGAGAGGAGAATGGAGGAGAAGGGATTGCGGTGTGGCCATCCCCGTGGGGGGTGATTTCTCGCTTTCTGTCTCGCTCTGTCTCTCTGGCGAGTGCACGCGCCCTATAGCAAAAAAAAACAAACCTCAACAACAACAACAAAAATGTTAGTAAGTTGTTGGGAAAGTCAGGGTGCATTTTGTGTAGAAAAACAGAAGAACACACCCTGGCTTTCCCAAGTATTCTCTCTGCACAAATATCTCAAGAACAGTTTTACACTCTGAACCGTTATGTATAACAGCAAACATACTACGCTGTCTTTTCTTCCAGTCTATTACTCCAAAGCGACTCCTCACATCGATAACCACAGTAAGTATAATTGTTAAGAAACTGAGCTTCTTTGAAAAAAATCTTCATCTTATGTATATGATTGTAAATTGATTAACCACTTCTAAACCCTTAGCACTGCAAAGTTAAAAAATATGCTAGTGAGGAAACATTTTCTGACACGTACATATGAGAAATGTTTTCTAAAATATGGTAAAGAACTTTAATATTAAATGTGTTTATTAAATGAAGTGTTTAACTTATGTTTCTTTTTCTTTAGAAAAGCACCCTTCATTCTTCAGGTGAGTACATCTTGAATTACTTGAAACTTTATGATAAGGGCTATGGGCTAATCTCTGACTGCACTCGTATGCAGTATACTCATGCTCAGAAAGCCCATTTTGTTTACTGTAACATGTAAAGTAGTAACTTTAGAATAGGGGAAAGAACCAGCAATTGCATATGTATGTGTACACACACCCACACACACACACACGCACGCACACACACACACACACACACACACACATAAAATCTGACTTGGCCTATGACTGTTCACCCTGGTCGGGGTGATGTTTGCTGTATGGTGCTCGGTCATCTGCAGTGTCACTGGCCAGAACACAGTGTGGTTGTGCTTTGGTCAGGCGTCACCACAGGCTGCCAGCCATGCCCTCACTCAGGCACAGTGTCGGTAACGCGTGGACCAAGCCACTTGGCAACCACAGCAGGTGGCAGGGCCCTTCCCCCCAACTCCTGTTCTGTAGGCCGGCTTTGTGTTACTCCCGTTCTGGAGTTAACCTGTTTTAATACGTGTGACTGACATTTGTGTCACGCTAGAAAAGCATCGCCCAGGACCAGTAGACGGTGCAGTGGCCACGTCCCTGGGCTCCCACAGTGCTGACCTTGCTGCGAGTCTCGCTCCTGGGGGCTTCAGAATCCTGCTGGGCGCATGTGCGTGCGATCCCAGGAGGAGAATGGAGAAGAGGCTGCTGCAGGGCCGTCCCCGGGGGCTGATTTCTCTCCTTCCCTCTCACCGTCTCTGTCTGTCTCTCTGGTGAGCGCACACACGCTATGGCAAATCCTCTTAAGAAAAATAAGTGTCTTTCTACTCCGTCAGGAATCGGAACGCAGTAATAGCGGATAGACCTAGAGTGCTTTAGGTAGAGTTCCAGAAGGGAATTGGGGGGCTGGTCTCCCTTCCCTCCGCTGGGCGCAAGGCCGTCATGAGAAGGACCTGTCCCAGCTAGTCCCCGCCGTGGGCCACCGCAGCAGCTCCACCCCACTGTCAGAGTGCGTGGGGAGCGTCACCTCCGCAGGAGCGTCACTGCATTGACCTCGCCTCTCCTTGCAGTCATGGCCAGCCCGGGAGGCCTCCATGCTGTGCGCACCAGCAGCTTTGCCCTTGTTGGATCCTACACGCTGTCGTTGTCTTCAGTAGGAAGCACCAAGTTCGCGCTGGACAAGGTAACCCACCTTCATCTGTAAGAACGGCACTGCTTCTCTTAGTTTTAGGGAATTAGGTCAGTGGAAATGCCACAGTGCCTTCGATATTCAAAATCTTTGGCTGAAAAGATTGTTCTTAGAATTGCACATTTTAAATAGGTGTGAGTATACCTAAATGCTACGTTTGGTGATGTTGGAAGAATTTCGCCCTTTATCTTAATACAGTGTCAAGGAAGCATATGCTGGTTTATTCCAAGTGTTACTGTTGACTCTAGAAGTGTTACTTCCTGCACTTATTGAGTTGTCGGAAAAGTCATGATGTATTTTTCTGTTTTTCTACACACAAATGCATCATGGGGACCAGCAACCGGTGCAGTGGTTACATTGCTGGACTCCCACGTAGTCGACCACGATCCGAGTCCCAGAACAAGCGACTTAAAACTCACGCTGGGCGCGTGTGCATGCTTACACAAAATCCCGAGAGGAGAATGGAGGAGAAGGGATCACGGTGTGCCCATCCCCTCTGGGGGCAGATTTCTCGCTTCTTATCTCTCTGTCTCTCCGGTGAGCGCATGTGCTCTATAGTAAAAATCTCGTAAGAAGAATGTGTCATAACTTTTCCAACAATGCAGTCGATGTTAAATTTACAATGTTTTTATTTTTGTTTTGGCTTATGTCCTTGCCAGAGAGAGCTGAGGGGGTAGGGAAATAGACCTAGAGTGCTTTAGGTAGAGTTCCAGAAGGGAATTGGGGGGCTGGTCTCCCTTCCCTCCGCTGGGCGCAAGGCCGTCATGAGAAGGACCTGTCCCAGCTAGTCCCCGCCGTGGGCCACCGCAGCAGCTCCACCCCACTGTCAGAGTGCGTGGGGAGCGTCACCTCCGCAGGAGCGTCACTGCATTGACCTCGCCTCTCCTTGCAGTCATGGCCAGCCCGGGAGGCCTCCATGCTGTGCGCACCAGCAGCTTTGCCCTTGTTGGATCCTACACGCTGTCGTTGTCTTCAGTAGGAAGCACCAAGTTCGCGCTGGACAAGGTAACCCACCTTCATCTGTAAGAACGGCACTGCTTCTCTTAGTTTTAGGGAATTAGGTCAGTGGAAATGCCACAGTGCCTTCGATATTCAAAATCTTTGGCTGAAAAGATTGTTCTTAGAATTGCACATTTTAAATAGGTGTGAGTATACCTAAATGCTACGTTTGGTGATGTTGGAAGAATTTCGCCCTTTATCTTAATACAGTGTCAAGGAAGCATATGCTGGTTTATTCCAAGTGTTACTGTTGACTCTAGAAGTGTTACTTCCTGCACTTATTGAGTTGTCGGAAAAGTCATGATGTATTTTTCTGTTTTTCTACACACAAATGCATCATGGGGACCAGCAACCGGTGCAGTGGTTACATTGCTGGACTCCCACGTAGTCGACCACGATCCGAGTCCCAGAACAAGCGACTTAAAACTCACGCTGGGCGCGTGTGCATGCTTACACAAAATCCCGAGAGGAGAATGGAGGAGAAGGGATCACGGTGTGCCCATCCCCTCTGGGGGCAGATTTCTCGCTTCTTATCTCTCTGTCTCTCCGGTGAGCGCATGTGCTCTATAGTAAAAATCTCGTAAGAAGAATGTGTCATAACTTTTCCAACAATGCAGTCGATGTTAAATTTACAATGTTTTTATTTTTGTTTTGGCTTATGTCCTTGCTAGAGAGAGCTGAGGGGGCAGGGAAAGCACCCCCAATGGGGCACGATCACACTGCAGTCCCTTCTCCATCCGTTTTGCTAGAACTCAAGGTACACGTGCACAGGCACTGTCACGGAGCCAGGCCCAGAACTCGAGCCGCGGTTGGCCATCGAGATGTGGCACCTTTAAACAATAGGTGTGAGGCCAGCCCAAGTTTAAGTCTAAAACAGTATCTTGCCTATTTAATCAATATCTTGAAATGAACAATATTTTATGGATGTGCCATAGTTTTAACAAGATAGGGAAATACACGTTAATCTTTTAGAAAAGGACTTAGGAGTCTGAGGGTTTCCTTCTTACACTTCCTCCCAACCAGAAGCCTTCAAAATTCAGGTCTGTGTGAATCACTGGGGAGTGTCTTGTTTTTGTTCACCATAATGTGATATAACTAAACTTCTAGGTAGCTAGTAAGACCATTTTAAGGAGTGAGAGAACCAGAGGCAACTTTATCCCTGGGGTTCGCTCCTGCTGGACGATGCAGTAAGAGACTCCTGTGGCCAGAGTGTGGAGACCAGGAGGTGTAAGGGTTGGGAGCCCTGGTTTCTTTCCTTTCCTTTCTTTCTTTTAAAGAATTACTTTATTTATTTATTTTAATTTGACAAGGGAAGGACAGAGTGAGAGAGAAAGTGCGAAAGCAAGCCGCCAGGTCTAGGACTCGAACCGTAGTCGGCCACAGGGAGTCTAGCTTCCTTAGCCTCCACAGCACTGCCGACCCCGGGGAAGGCCTGGTTTCTAGTACGGGCTCGCTGAGCAGCTTACTCTCCCGCATTGCAGGCACTGCACATCCCTGGGTCGTTTCCTGGTGTAGACTAGTAGGTTAGCGTAAAGCAGGCGAGCCTCGAAATTCTATGAAACATTTTCTTTTAGCTGATGACCAGAAAGCAGTCTTTATTTGAAATTTTGATTACTGTTAATGCATAAATGTATTTTATTTAACGTGTTGATTTTAGAAAACTTATATAACCTCTGCTAGCTTAATAAATCGAGTGATTTTGGGTCCTTTTTTCTGTTTGTCTTTATCTCGTTTGTTTTAGATAAATTGTGATGTAGGCGAGCAAGAGCGACTCAGCTGCTTGTTCCAGGAAAAGGTGGCCGCGTTTCCTTCGCTTTGACACTCATGGCCCTGAGGTCCAAGCCTCCACTTTGGGTCCATGTATATTTGTTTTGCTAACCGCTCTCAAAACGTTTTGGTTGTTCGGAATAGTTAAGGACATTCTGTACATTGCTCTATCTTTAGACTTATAGGGGGCCTCTTTTTCTTTACCTATGATTTTTTAAAATCTTTCTTTGAGAGATCTGTTTTTTACATGCATGTTTGGTATTGTTTTTTTTCTCTATATTTTTTCATTTCATAATCCTTCAAAATTTTATGTTTACTTTGGTATTGATTCTCTTGTCTACCAGTTAGAATACCAAACTAGTAACTATGTTTAAAAGTAAAAATTATTCACATGTTTGATCTCCTGCATACTGAAAGACCTACTGGTGATGTTTTAAATAAAAGTAGGAAATTTTCATGGTCTCAGTTGACCAATAAATCCTGTATAGTGTGTGTGTGCATGCATACATACATTATATGCGTAGTATTGCTATATTAATGATGCTTTTTAATACTAAAATTATACTGAATATAATCATACTTTAGAAATATAATCATATACTTTAGAAAACTTTTTTAGGACCTGCAGGTAGCATGGTGATTAAGGTGCTAGACTCCCACATGGCTGACTGCAGTTCGAGTCCCGGACGCAGTGACTTGAAACTCACACCAGACGTGTGTGTGTGCATGTCCAAAATCCCAAAAGGAGAATGAAGGAGAAGAGATTGCAGTGTGGCCATTCCTCCTGTGGGGTGATTTCTCACTTTTCCCTTTCTCTGTCTCTGTCTCTGTCTCTCTCTGGCCAGCTAGTGCATGTGCCCTATGGCAAAAACTATTAAATTTTTTTTTTTTTTTACATTTTTATAAAGATCAGTTGCAAACATTGCAAATATTTTGTGGGTTTACAGAAATATTAATTAACAAAATGCCAATAGTATTTTTCATTTTATTTTAAATTCATAAATCAAGATTTGCAGGCTGGCCTGTGGCATGGTGGTTAAGGCAGCGGGATTCCCCATGGCCCACTGTGTGGTTCAAGTCCCGGCCTCAGCTGCTGGAGGAACATGCTGGGTGCACGTGCTTGTGCCCGCATCTCCACGGGAGGGAGAAACGGGGAGAGGCGTTTCAGCGTGCCCACGCCCCGTGGGGTGTTTGCTCACTTTCCCTGTCTCTCTCTGGGGTGCTCACACGTATCCTGGCAAAACTAAAAACGAAAAAAACCAAGATTTGCAATTAGATGCATCTGAGAACTATAGTCCTGTGAACTGTGCATCTTCCTCAGTTTCCACATAGGTAAGAGTCATTACTCTCTGAAATGTGACTTTTGTTGCAAACCTTCCTGTTTTAATTTCCAGAGGGTGTGTGTGCTTCCTAGAGCAGGGGAAAGTGCACGCGGACGCCTCCCGGTGGGGAGTGGGCACACTGCAGTCCCTCCTCCATCGCTCGGTCCCCCAGCGTCTGGGCTGTCATGCACATGCCAGCTTTTCAGTCTGCGGGCACGGGGCCGTAACTGAAGGCTGCTTTGTACCAGCAGATTCTCCGGGCCAAACCGTAGATTTCTGTTCACTGGCGTTGAGAGGAAGGAGCCTGAGGAACTTAAACCTGGCACAATGGACCAGAAAAAGCAGGGGTTGTAGCAGACAATGTAACGAGGCACCACGGAGGATTTTCTTTTTCTTTTTAGAGAGATTTTTGCTATAGGGTGTGTATGTGCTAGCCAGAGACAGGAAGTGATAAATCACCTCCCGGGGGGGGATGGCCATGCTGCGGCCCCTTCTCCTCCATTTTCCTCTTGGGATTTTGGGCACTCACGCGTGAACACACATCTGGCATGAGTTTAACCTGCTGGATCCAGGACTCGAACCACCATCAACCACATGGGAGTCCAGTGACGTAACCGTTACGCCATGTGCTGATCTGTTCATCTGCTGGGGAGTACTCAGGTCTTAGCTCTTGTGAACAGTGCTGCAGCGAACATTCTGAGTTCACTTGAGCCTGAGCTCACTTCTTTTGTGTAAGTATCCAGAGCTAGGATTGCTAGTTTGTATGGCAGGGTAATGTTTTCGGAACCTTCCTACTCATTTTTTGTTTTTGGAGAGATTTTTGCTATAGGGTGCGTGTGCTCGCCAGACAGACAGAGACACAGAAAGTGAGAAATCACCCCCCGGGGGATGGTCACGCCGCAATCCTTTCTCCATTCTCCTCTCGGGATCTTGGGCACGCATGCACATGTGCACAGCGTGAGTTTAAGCCACTGGATCCAGGACTCGAACCGCGGTCGACTACGTGGGAGGCCAGCGACATAGTCGTTACACTAAGTGCTGGTCCCTTTTTTTTTTTTTTTAAGAGATTTTTGCTACAGGGTGCATGTGCTTGCTGGGGAGACACAGGCAGAGAGAGAGAAATGAGAAATCACCCCCTGGGGGTGGATGGCGACTCCGCAATCCCTTTTCCATTCTCTCCTCAGGATTTTGAGCATGCACGTACATGCACCCCACTCCCCCACTCCCCGAGAGTTTAAAACCACCAGGTCCAGGACTCAAACTGTGGTCGACTACGTGGGGGTCTGCTGGTCCCCTCCTGAAATGTTTCTGTACGTGCGGGAGTGCACTTGTGCGTTTGGTTCACACCCGAGAGCCCACTGCCAAACCCGTGGACACGAAGCTGTAAAGCCCGTGTTTTCCCCTAAGCGTTTTAGCCCTCGTATCTAGGTCCTTCCTGACTCTGAGTTCATTTCTGTACGTGGTCTGGGGTAAGGCCCTGTGCCCCTTCCGTTTGGAGACTCCGTCTCCTCCGCACCATCTGTCGAGAGGGACCGCTCTGAACTTCGCGTGGTCCTGGCACTCCGGCGAGCGTCACGTGGGTGCAGACGTGGACGCAGACGTGGACGTGGCTGTCTGGGTTTACGTCTGGGCTCCGAGTCCTGTTCCTTTCGTCTCTGTCCGTCCTTACGTCAGCACCACAGTTTTGATTACTGAAGCTTTGAGTTAAGGTTTAGAATTGGGAAGTATGATTCCTCTGACTCCATTTGTCTTCTTCAAGATTATTCGGTTATTTGGGACCGCTTGCAATTCTGTATGGTTTTGGGGACCGGGGACTGGCCTTTCTGTTTCTGGAGTGTGTGTTCTTGCTGCCGAGGGGTATTGCAATGCATGAGTTCACTGTTCTATCTAGTCTCCCGTTGATGGGAACAGATAAACACGTTCTCCTAAACTGCGCTTTCTTCCGCACTGACCTGGGGCTTAGGCTCCCCTTTCCGTCAAGCTCTGCCTCGAGTGCATTGTTCTTCAGAAGCATCTGCTAAGGCACCACTGGCGTCTCAGCGTCTCGGCCATGTCCCTTACGCCCCAGCTTTAGGAAATGCTGCATTTTTAAGGTGCAGCACTTTGTTTATGACGTACACGTGTTTTATCTAGAAGACCGGCTCTCGACAATGCTTTGCAAACAATGAGCCTTCTTTCTTTGCAGGTACCCTTTTTATCCTCTTTGGAAGGCCATATTTATTTAAAGATAAAGTGTCAAGTGAATTCAAGTGTTGAAGAAAGAGGTTTTCTAGTAAGTAACATTACTTAATCTTTATTTTCTGTTTTCAGTTTGTGACATTGGTACTTGTTTCCCTAAGAACGCAAGCCTGTGAGCTGGTGGCTGGCCGCTGTGTGCCGTGTGGCCAGGCGTCTGTGCGAACGGGGGCAGGGTGTGCTGTGTGCCACGTGGCGGGCCACTGTGCTGGTGGGGGTGTGGCGGCCACGGGTGTGGCGGCCACGGGCGTCGCCCCCGACAGGGGAGTGCTCGGGTTAGTAGGAGACAGGCCCGTGCGGGAGTCCGCCCAGTACCGAAGTGGGGGGCATCGGAGCATGTGTCCGTAGGGGACGCCGGGTCTCGAGTGTAGGTGGGGAGGAAGCTGCTAGAAGCAGTAGCTTCTACACTGTTGGCCAGAGAGAAAGGAGGAAGACGGGAGGCATGCTCTGGATGGGCAAGCTCAGGGTGTGGAGGGCCCCTCCCTCGCTCCCCCTGCCCAGAGAAGAGCGGGTTGACACATGTGGAAGAGCTGAGTGTGGGTGGGCACAAGGACCGGGTGGGAGAGTGGGAGGAAGGTATGGGTAGGGAGGTGGGCCAAGGGTGTCCAAGGGCCTTTAAGGATTGGGGCTTTAGCCTGAAGCCAGGGGGTCGCGCCTCCAGGATTTTAGCACAGGAAGCATCAAGTGTGGGGTTAGGAAGGTCACCTGACGGAGGCGTGGGAGTGGCCTGGAGGACTGCCACCCTGAACACCCCTAGGAGACGGAGTTCGTCGTGAGAGAGGACTAGGGTTGGCAGCCGGGCAGAGAGCAGGGCCCTCGTGGTTTGGGTCAGGGGAGGGGAAGCAGAAGCCGGTGGCACCCAGACCCCTGCCTGGCTCAGCTCGTGGGCGGCCGGGATGCTCCTGAGACGGGGGCCTTGGGGAAGGGCAGGGGTTCTCCCAGGCTCCTTGGGTGGGCAGATTGTGTTTTCTCAGCATTTCATTGCGAAGAGCGGGCCAGCCTACGGCATGTTGGCAGAAGCGCTCAGGAGCCCACAGGCCACACAGGCGCCTACATTCACATGTAATATTCCGTCCTCCCTTCATCACGTACTGCTGTCTGGCCGTCTCCTGGCCGCCCGCTAGCCACTGCTCCATGTATCTTATCCTTTGAAAAAATCCCACGCCATGCTGTAAATGTTAGGCACTTTCTCTAAATCTTAAATGTGCATTCCCGGAATTTTGACAACTATGTTTCCCAAAGTTTATTACGATGTGGAACACTGGGGCCAGCAGACGCGTGATGGTTACAGTGCTGGATTCCGACGTGGCCGATCACAGTTGGAGTCATGGGCCTTGTGGCTTGAGAATCATGCTGGGTGAATGTGTGTGCCCAAAGTCCTCAGGAGGATGGTGAAGGAGGGATTGTTGCATGGCCACCCCCACCCACCCACTGGAAGGTGACTTCTCACTTTCCCTTTCTCTGTCTCTCTCTGGGGAGCACACACACCCTTTGGCAAAAACCTGAGGAAAAAGATGTGGAGCATTACCATTGCCCAGAAAGTACCCTCACGCCCTCTCCCGGCAATGACTACCGAACGTGGAGAGTTTCACATAATTTGAACTTCAGATGCTTTAAGGCATGTTGGGAAAATCTGGGTTTGGAGCCCAACACATTCAGCTGAGACTAAAGTTCAGGTCTGGACAGGGATGGGTGTCCGGGTCTATGCAGCGCAGGGATGGGGACGGGCGTCGGGTCTATGCAGCTCCAGGGAACCAGAACCAGGATACGGAGTATTTCATGGAGCAGGGAAGGAAGCAGCCCAAGCCGTGGCTCACAGCTCGGTCTTAGAACTTCTCTTTACATCCTCATGTAAAATGCATGGAATTATGGGGTGCCACAAGAAACCGAAAATCTAGTTGCTGGGTTTTCTCTGGGAAGCCAGACCTCGATGATAAAAGATGTCCCCAGCCAGTTCTCAGTTCCTGTCAAAGGGCGGAGAAAGGAGCCGGGTCCAAGGAGCCCACGCAGCCTGGTGACTGCAAATCTGGCCCCGGCGGGCACCCCAGTAGTAAGAGTCTTCTGTGTTTGTTTTTTTGCATCTAATTCCAGCAGGTGGCACCAGATACCTCGGAGAAGCGCTCGTGTGCGTTTCTGACCTGAAAGCAGTGTTTACCCGCTGCCCTTCCCTTCTGCCTAAATGTCACTGCAGCCTACCGTAGGCACTGCCAGCTACTTACAGGCCCTGCCACGGTGGCCAGGTCGTTTCCACATCGCATCTGACGCGTAGTTTTGAGCTGACTCTGAACTAGTGTTAGATCTTTTCAGCTTTACCGTCTTGAATCTGGTCACGCACACTCAGCAAGTCCACACCTAGAGACGTTGGAGGAGAGGGCTCGGGACCCTCCGGCAAAACGTGGGTCCCCTGCCTGGTCCGGGTGTGCTCATCTCCCCTGCACCTGCGAGCGTGAGAAGTAGGAACTGGGGTGGAAACCCTCTGAGTCCTCCTTGCCAGTGTGCAGGGGCCAGGGGAGCTGGTGTGGACTCTGGTGAGGTGCTGCTTCAGGGAGCACCCTCCGGAGCTGCGCGAGGCCTTGGGCTTGGTAGCCGCAGGTCTGACGCCACGTTATGACCCATGCTGTCGGTTACTCTCCTGGTCCTCGGTCTGCTCAGCGACGAGGGGATCTGCCGGCTCTTGGCTCGGCCGCCCAGGACGGCACAGTAGCTGGCGGTGTCCCTGTTAGAGCGCCCCTCGGCCATTGCCGCGATGCATGGGGTGATCACCACACCAGAGCTGGTGCCAGTGCACCCGCCATCTCTGACTGCTGTCTCCCCTCCATGGCTGTGAGCAGTCCTGAGAGCAGGCATGCGTGGGCAGGGGACGAGGCGGGGTCCGTGGCTGGGCGAGTGGCTGAGCTGGTTGCGTGCGGGTTCCAAATGTCGGCAGCGTTCCTGGCGAGCAAAGCCACTGTCCTCCACGGTCTCCTGCTCGGAGCCGCCTTTGGGAACATCCCGTGAGCTAGCCAATTGAGAAGTGCCCCTCCTCCTGCCACAGGGCTGGTACGAGGCTCAGCCGAGGTGACGTACAAGTGTTCTTAGAGTGGGCCTCCCCTCAAGACCAAGTGACAGGCATTGATATGATTGGCTACCCGGTAACCAGAAAGGCCGAAGCTGTGATTGGAGATGGGAAGGCCTGAGCGAGATGCGCAAGGTGCCCAGCCGACACGCATGGGGACAGCGGAGCGGGCCACCGTACCAGTCTAGGCGTGCGGGTGCACCTTGCCTTCGTGTCTGTAGCAGAGCCCAGGGGACAGGCTGTGGCCCACAGAGCCCGAGTGTTCGCTCTCGGGGTCTGTACAGAAAGAGGCCGCCAGCCTCTGGCCCGCGGTGCTGTTACCTGCTCACCTCGTCCCTTAACATAGAAGTTCCTATGGGAATATTCTAGATTAAAGGTGGGGACTTTTATTATGGGAGCTGGACCCAGCTCCTGCCGTCCTGTGTGGGAGGGTGGGGGCGAGAGCTGGACCCAGCTCCTGCCGTCCTGTGTGGGAGGGTGGGGGCGAGAGCTGGACCCAGCTCCTGCCGTCCTGTGTGGGAGGGTGGGGGCGAGAGCTGGACCCAGCTCCTGCCGTCCTGTGTGGGAGGGTGGGGGCGAGAGCTGGACCCAGCTCCTGCCGTCCTGTGTGGGAGGGTGGGGGCGAGAGCTGGACCCAGCTCCTGCCGTCCTGTGTGGGAGGGTGGGGGCGAGAGCTGGACCCAGCTCCTGCCGTCCTGTGTGGGAGGGTGGGGGCGAGAGCTGGACCCAGCTCCTGCCGTCCTGTGTGGGAGGGTGGGGGCGAGAGCTGGACCCAGCTCCTGCCGTCCTGTGTGGGAGGGTGGGGGCGAGAGCTGGACCCAGCTCCTGCCGTCCTGTGTGGGAGGGTGGGGGCGAGAGCTGGACCCAGCTCCTGCCGTCCTGTGTGGGAGGGTGGGGGCGAGAGCTGGACCCAGCTCCTGCCGTCCTGTGTGGGAGGGTGGGGGCGAGAGCTGGACCCAGCTCCTGCCGTCCTGTGTGGGAGGGTGGGGGCGAGAGCTGGACCCAGCTCCTGCCGTCCTGTGTGGGAGGGTGGGGGCGAGAGCTGGACCCAGCTCCTGCCGTCCTGTGTGGGAGGGTGGGGGCGAGAGCTGGACCCAGCTCCTGCCGTCCTGTGTGGGAGGGTGGGGGCGAGAGCTGGACCCAGCTCCTGCCGTCCTGTGTGGGAGGGTGGGGGCGAGAGCTGGACCCAGCTCCTGCCGTCCTGTGTGGGAGGGTGGGGGCGAGAGCTGGACCCAGCTCCTGCCGTCCTGTGTGGGAGGGTGGGGGCGAGAGCTGGACCCAGCTCCTGCCGTCCTGTGTGGGAGGGTGGGGGCGAGAGCTGGACCCAGCTCCTGCCGTCCTGTGTGGGAGGGTGGGGGCGAGAGCTGGACCCAGCTCCTGCCGTCCTGTGTGGGAGGGTGGGGGCGAGAGCTGGACCCAGCTCCTGCCGTCCTGTGTGGGAGGGTGGGGGCGAGAGCTGGACCCAGCTCCTGCCGTCCTGTGTGGGAGGGTGGGGGCGAGAGCTGGACCCAGCTCCTGCCGTCCTGTGTGGGAGGGTGGGGGCGAGAGCTGGACCCAGCTCCTGCCGTCCTGTGTGGGAGGGTGGGGGCGAGAGCTGGACCCAGCTCCTGCCGTCCTGTGTGGGAGGGTGGGGGCGAGAGCTGGACCCAGCTCCTGCCGTCCTGTGTGGGAGGGAGCGCCTGCTCCGGAGTCCTGCCCTCACCCCCTCCCTGCAGAGCGCAGCTTGCTTCCTGGAGTACTGGCACCCAGGCTGGGGTGTGGCTGCATTGCCCCCAGGGTGGGGGCTACCCAGCAGGGCGCGCCCCTGATGTTCCTGGCACCCGCTGAGCCCGCACTACCAGTAATGTGTAAGGAGAGATGTTCCCATCGCGGTTTACTCTCCGGCACCCAACTGCTTCTCTCCTCTAAGGAGCACTTAGTGGGGACGTCATGCTTTAACCAAGTGCACAGAAGGTAGAGGCACTGATCTGCAGTTGGTGCCTGGACACTCTTGATGCTTATCGATGGTGCTCAGCCAGCCTTCCATACGAGCAGTTAGTTTCCATTATTAAGACAAAACATTACCAAAATTATGCAGCTGGGTTTGGAGGTCTGAAAGACGCCGACACACCGCACCTCTGACTTTCCAACGGCGACTGCTCCGGCAGGAGACCCCGTCGCGTTCTAAAGCCTGTGTTCCAACTCACTTCCGCAGACCATATTTGAAGACGTTAGTGGCTTTGGTGCCTGGCATCGGAGGTGGTGTGTTCTTTCCGGAAACTGCATCTCTTACTGGACTTACCCGGACGATGAGAAGCGAAAGGTAATTCAGAGTCCTGGCAGGGGCGCGAGCCCGGCTGGCTTTCTCGTGGTGGTCCCCGTAAGTGCCCCTCTGGCCCCACCCACCAGAGCCCGCCTTGGTACTTCCCCAGCCACGAGGCAGGTTGTTCGGACCTGGCGAGGGGGTGTGGGGGTGCGGGGTATATGTGAATAGAAGGTTTGTAACCTACTCCCCATGATTTGACCACTTTCGAAATACCTACAGGCATGTGTTTTTCTTTCCTTTGTCCTGGGAATATTTCCTAATATTTTTTGCTGGCATTTTAGTTGGGAAGATCTTAAGTTCAATTGTGTATTTTATTGGCTGTATCGTGAGCGAGACAGTAAAGGGAAAGGCCACCCGCAGGGGTATTCTGATTTTGCTTTTGTGTTGAAACAGTGAAATAGGATTTTGTGCAATAGATTATGTGTTATTTTTAAGGAAGTTATTATTGCCTGGATGAGATTATTTATTATCCCAAACCTAGAAAATAGAAATAAGCAGAATTAAAAAGGCTCGTCCGTAACAGATAAAGCCCCTGCATATTCTGGTTTATACCCTTATGTGCTTTAAAACACACGTAACATAATCCATACCCGTTTGTGAATCTTCTAAACAAAAAGCAGCATGCTTCTTATAACCTGAGTTTCGTTGATGATATCTATCTTCCGCATCAAGCATCATTTTTAATAACTATGTTATAGTATAGTCATAGACGTTATTTAGAAATTTATTGGGAGAAGCATAAAATAATCATTTCACTGTTCGATCAGTCCAGCTGAAGCTCCCTGAGTACTCCTACCCTACAGACAGAGTCTTTCCTAGCACTGCTACTCCTGCCCACCTGTTCACATTTGTTACATGTGTTCTTAAGCAGGCTGTGTCACTGCAGTGCCATCACACGTGCCGCCCTGCCACTTGCCGTTCTGGGCCACTGCGGTTGGTAAAGTCAGTGCACGTTGACACGTGGGCTCCCGTCAGCTCCTCTGTCTCTGCAGTGTAGTACTCCGTTAAAGAACGTAACACAATTCATTCACTCTCCTCCTCGCGCGCACTTGGATTCTTTCCAGACGGCCGCTGTTACACAGTGCTGCTGTGCTTTAGCTTCTTATTAGCACAGTTCTTTCCTGAGTTCCAGCTAATAGCAGAGCGCGGCGTCGTAGGGGCCCGTCTTCGGCTGTTTCAGACCTTGTTAAGGCCCGCGTGCCCTCTGGCCGCCCCACTCCCAGAGCCCCTTCACGTACACTTACTTCTTCTATCAGACCTGCGCGGGTCGGGGTCGGGGTCGGGGTGCGGGTGTGGGGGTTATATTTGAATACAAATTTTGTAACCCATTCTCCATGGTTTGACCACTTTTAAAATACCTAAGGGCATATGTTTTTTCTGCCCTTTCTCCTGGAATATTTCATAATATTTTTTGTTGACATTTTAATTGGGAAGATCTTAAGCTTAGTTAGGCTAGACCATTTTATGCTTTCACCAGCAAAAAAAATTTCTACTACTCAACCCCCCACCAAACAAGTTGTTCCTGTCCTTTCTAGACGTAAGGATTTTAAGTGGTGTGCTTCACTTTAAATTCATTTGTAAGAGTAAAGGGTTGGCGTGTCGTTGACGGTGTCCATCCTGCCCATTCCTGTCCCCTTTTCCGTTTTTCACTTGGTCTCCTGAATTGTTATCTCCGCTTGGGCTGTCACCGCGTAGGAAGGGTCCAAAGCCGTTTTCTGGCCTTATCTCTCAGGGAGCGTGGAGGTCATTTACACGTGAAACCAGGCACCCAGGCTCCTTATCTAGAAGGGGAGGGTGGGGAGGTGCAGAGCGGGTGGCTCAGGATGGCTTTCTAATCATTGAGGCTGGCCAGGTCCATGTTCTCATTTTCTGCTTGAGGTTTTCCGTAAAAAAGAGTTTACTTCTCTTTAAGTTTATAGAATAGCCGGCCAGAGTTACCAGCCGATGGTTTTGGTTTCTGTTTTTATGTCAGCAGGACAGTAATAGATACTGAATATCTCTCTAAACGCAGTGTAACTGAACCGAACTTTTATAGTCGAGTTTCCCAGTTTTAGTCTGTGCCAGCTAAACTGCTCAGTGCTAAATGAATTGCATGGTCATTTATTTCCTACTAATCTTTAAAACCTCGTTTTTGAAGAATCCCATCGGAAGGATAAACCTAGCCAACTGTACCAGCCGTCACATAGAACCAGCCAACAGAGAGTTCTGTGCGCGGCGCAACACCTTTGAGTTAATCACTGTCCGGCCACAGAGAGAGGACGACCGCGAGACGCTGGTCAGCCAGTGCAGGGACACGCTGTGTGTCACCAAGTACGTACTGCCTCCTGATGTTTCTTTTTTTACAGAATTATTTATCTTATTTTTTTATTTTTATTTGACCAGAGAGAAAGAGAGAGAGGGAAAATGAGAAAGCAAGCTACCAGGTTCGGGACTCGAACCGCGGTTGGCCATGTGGGAGTCCAGCGCTCCTAACCACCACACCACCTGCTGGCCCCGGCCCCCAGATGTTCCAACCTCAGTAAGGTCTTGTCTGTCTGTTGTGTGCTCAACCACTGCAGGGCGTCTCAGAGCTGTGCCTTGGCTTTGAGGGGCAGCGTCCAGCCTGTCTCCGGGTTCACATGTGTCCCAGTGCCCTCACAGCGGGGACGTCTCCACAGCAGTTAGCTAAGAACCTGTGGGCTCTGAAGAAAGATTTCACGTGGAAGAGAAGTCAGGCATTACTCAGACTATGTAGCCCTTCCACTCCCAAACGGTCCTCGTTTAATCAGATGACTTACAAAGTCTCCCTCTGGTCTGCAGATACCAGTTAGAGAAGAACAGGATAATCTCCTGGAAGCATCACTCTTTTTGTTAACCCAGAGCTGACTGCTAAGATGCAAAATTGTATTGCTGAGTGCAAGATAGGCTTTCACTTGCATGCCCAAGTTCTGATGAGGGATGTAGGTTTGAATGTGACAAAATCTTTATGAATTAGGTCGTTGCTGGATATTGGAGGAGAGGCCTGGGCAACGCTAGGTTCATAACTTCCCGATGGAAATGCTGGAGAACCACAGCCAAGACGCACTATGCTAAGACAATGAAGTTGCCCCGGGACTAGCCTTTTTTTTTTTTTTTTCCAGTGAGATTTTTGTTCTAGGGCACATGCCCCACTAGAGAGACAGAGACAGAGAGCGAGATATCACCCCTTGGGTGATGGCCACACTGCAGTCCCTTCTCCACCATTCTCTCAGGATTTTGGACACACACCCCTGGCATGAGTTTTAAGCCATCGGGTCCGGGACTCAAACTTTGGTTGACTCCATGGGAGCCAGCGACCTAGCCATTACGCCATCTGCTGGCCCCCGGTCTGTTTAAAATAACTAGGGAGGACCCAGTCTGAAATGTCCCCATGTCGCAGGGACCTCCGGAGCCGCAGTAGTCTGGGGGAGGGCGGGCGGTGCTGACTCAGGCACTTAGCGAGCGCTGCCGTTCTCGGCCCCAGGGGGCAGTCCAAGCACAGTGCACAGAGGGCTCCTGCCCAGCCCGCCTAGCCCTGGTGGGTCGGGGCGTACTCCACTGCTCATTCAACTCTGTTAGCTGCTGGGCAAGCCTTACCAGGTGTGCCCCTGGACTTGGCCTGTGGTAGGGAGTGCTGGGCCACGCGTCCCCCCACTCCTCTACCTCACTGCGCATCACTTTTCTCGGGGCACTATCATCACGTGAATGTGCTTCTCTGGCCCAGGTACGAGAGTGGTGCAAGCCCAGGGGCTGGGCCTTCGGCTCGGCTTGGAGGCCCAAGGCTTTACTTCACTTTCCTTTCTTTTTTTCTTCCTTTTATTTCCCGCCAAGTTTTGCCATAGGGTGTGTGTGCTCCCTGGAAAAAGACAGAGAGTAAGAGGGAAAGTGAGAAGTCACCCCTCGGGCGGATGGCCATTCACAGTCCTTTCCTCCATTCTCCTTCTGGGATCTAGGCCACACACGCACATGCGCCTGCTGTGATTTTTCAAGCCACAAGTCTGACTCGAAACTGCGGTGGGCCACGTGGGAGTCCAGTGCCGTAACTACTGCACCGCCTGGCCCTTCGCATTCCCGAGCATGTGACCTAAACCTGCATTCTGCCTCCTGCTTCCTCCCAGGCCTCTGCCCTCTGAGTTCATCTAGACTTAACGCGCATCGCTGTCACCCCACCACACCAGCCACGCTTACTATCTTCCACCTCCTTACTACCAACGACTTCTCATTTCTCGCGAGCAGTATTTCCCCTTTCAGAATGGCGACTACACATTCAAGCTAGACACATGTCCTCAGGGGCAGGCCAGTGTTTTGCGGTGGAGCTTTGGATTCAGCAGCCCTAAATTTAAGTCCTAACTCAGTTCTTACCAGATGTAGCCTTGACTGGTCACTCAGCTTTGCTGGCTCCCTGAATCCTCCTAAGTGAACCTTCGTGAAGTGACGCGGAGATTAGCGAGGAGACCCTGGCGCAGTGTCGAGCCGTGGAGCGAGCTGGGCGAGTGGGCGGCACTGTGGGACACTAATGGGGGTGACGTGCTGCCTGCTCGTTCGCGCTCGCAGCCTGCTGGCACCAACGGGCAGGAACTGTAAGGACACAGGATGAGGATCGTGGAGCCTTCCAGCAGGGTCTGCTCCCGGGGGCACGGCCTGACGGGAGGCAGGGCAGTCCTCGCCCCTACCCCTGCTGCCCCATGAGCCGGCTGCTTTCCAGGGCAGAACTTAATGTGGGCCGAAGGAAGAGCTTCCTGGTGTGGGCACAGGGGGTGCGCTAGACACACGTTAGGTCTTTACGTAGATGCCATTCTACGATTGCGACATGGGACAGAAGTACAGGAGACGGCACTGAGGAGAATTCCCGGGGCAGTGAGGTGAGGCCCTGAGCCTGGATCCAGCACTGGGGGCTCGTGGGAGCACGCAGATTCAGCCTGTGGGGCCTTGTGGGAAGCAGCCACACTCAGCGGGTGTCCCATGCTCCGTGTGCAAGCCAGACTGCTTATGCAGGCAGTGCCTTCTTTGGTTGAAAATGCCGTCACTACCAAGTGGGGAACTTGACCCTGGCAGCCCCGAGAAGCGCCTCCTACGGGGCTCTCGGTTAGCACCCACTGGAAGACGGCCAAGGTGCCTCGTCTCTCAGCCTGCCATGTCTTGTCTTTACCAGTGCGTGGAGGGAGGGCGTGGGGCAGGACCCTGACCCCTGCTGGCTGTTCTCGTAGGAACTGGCTGTCCGCAGACACTAAAGAAGAGCGGGACCTCTGGATGCAAAAGCTCAATCAGGTGCTCGTGGATGTCCGCCTCTGGCAGCCTGACGCCTGCTACAAGCCCGTCGGGAAGCCTTCGCTGGGGGACACCCTGGGCCACTAGAGGTTTTCAGGGGTGACGTCGATGTCGTTCATGAGTATGGGAACGTCAGGCTTGCTGATCGTGTTTTACGCTTTAAATACCAAGGGCTGGGTGCCAATATGCACTACATATTATGCAGTATTTATGTTTTGTAGAACTTCAGCCATTTCCTTCTGTCAGTCATACCTGATTCGAGGTAAGTTCTTCACAGTTGATTTGCTAGATCTTAATTTAAAAGCCTGGCAATCTAATTAATTAGTTATTCATGACAAAAAATATTTTTAAAAGTAAGAAAGTTGGAACTGACTTCCTGGAGCTGTGGGTCGGATTTGGCCACCTTCCCTCCAGCCTCAGTAGTTTTTCCTAAGCTTATGACCATTTATCGATCATATGATTTGTAAGAAATACTGAAGGAAATTTCTGAGAGACTTTGTGGAAATATTTTTAGTAAAGGGGAGGAAGACTTTTTCAATAGCAAACATGTACTTAAAGCTTGAGGCTGCCTTCGGAAACAGAAGGGAGGGAGCTTGACAGGGAATGTCGGCGATTGCGTGGTTTCCGCTTACTCCGTTACTGTATGCAGCATGGTGCACATTTTCATCCATTCGAGCATTACGAAAGGTCTTGTTTTTGCTGTATAACTTAGAGAACCCTGAAGATACTTAGCTTATTAGTTCTTTTTGCTCCCGTAACAAGAACAAATGTAAATTGAAAAGTTTTGTGTTTTAAAAAAAAAAGTAAACTTTACCAAGCTGCTATGGACTAACACTTTGCTTGCCAAAGTTCTTGTCTTTTTTTTAAATGTCTGTGTAAAACAGTTTCTAGAAACCCATTTGGAATCATTTGAAAAACTGTTAAGTCATGATTACCTTTAAAAGCAAATTCCTATTTCTTATTATAAAATATTGTAAAGCATGGTCTTGACTTAAATACCTTGAATTTTCGAATTATTAGTTATCGATGACTTCATTTATAGACACTAAATTCTGTCGCCTCCTGTCATTTCATTTTTATTTGTTCAATTGTGTTTTTTCTTATGTATATTATAAAAATATATTTTATGATCTCTCACCTGAATAAATACTTATAAATGATGTCGAGCAGCAGTCACTTGAGCAGCGCTGTTCTAGTGTGGCGTGCCGCTCTGTCTCGGCTCTGGGCCTCGGGACCGAACCGGCAGCAGCGCGTTCCCCTTTCTGTCCCAGGCCGGGTCAGGTCACAGCGTGCTCTTAGTTGCTGTCGAATGCATAGGCGGATGGGGGACCCATTTCTGAGATACTCCCACCGGATGCAGTAATTAGATAAGCGTCTGGAGAGATGCGAAGACTGTCTGCAAATCATTTGTGACCTCCCCCTTCGGACTTTGCTTTCTCCGTGCCCATTCGGACGAGTGCTGTGTGGGAAACCTGACTCAGGTCGCTGCTCTTGCTCCACTGACTGCCACAGCCCTCTAGGTTGACGGACGATGTACTAACCTGCGAAGTTTCCTGAAAAGTAATTTCAAAGGGGTCCGGAGAAAACGCCAAGTGCCCTGCCCTCTAGTGGAGAGAATTGTTGAGCTGAAGGTAAACATGCAGGGCGCCCTCTCCCCTTTCTTTCCCCTGTCTGCCTAAATTAGGGGTTAACCTTCCCCCAGGAGATCGCTGTCAGCTCAGAAGCGCACCAACACGGCCAAAGGAACTTGCGAGTTAATTTACCGGCGTCTCAGTATCCTTGCCACTAGGACCTGTAAGAGCGTCCTCACTTCCCAGTTTTCCTCGTTCCCCTCGGAGGTGCACATTCTGCCCGTCTCTGCGATGTGGACACCCAGAGTACAGGCCAGGGAGGCAGCAGACAGAAACTGCATTCCAAGCAGAGCCGAACAGTTCAGAGCTAGGACCAGAGAAATGTCTTGATTTCCATTTTAGGCAGAAATCTGCTCCCTAATGTGGGAGGCAAGCAGGTTCCAGACAAAGGAGGTCCCACCATGCATTTTCCTCTGAACTGGACTGGCAAACCCCATCTCCAGCCCCCTGAGAGTCACAGCAGGGGGCAGGAGGGATGGGCCCCTCCCCAAGAGAGGCAGGTGTGTGGGTGGGTGTCAGCTGCTCAGGAGGACTCAGCAAACTCCTTTAACTCAGGAGAAAACCCTTTGCAAAATGTGAATTTAAATATTGTTCTATTATTTACTAGCTGACTGAATTTAAATATCGCTCTGTTTTTGCTTTCTGCTTTTTCATCACAGTTAATGAACTTTATACTCAAAAGCAAATATCTGGTGGTCACCACTAGGCACGCCCCTTCTTTACCCCTCCCCAAGTGTCGTGTGCTGTCCTTTTCACATGCACGCGTAAGGTTCTTGTATCCCACAGCTTGGCCGGTGCCTGGATCCTGTCGGTTTGCCGTTCCAGATGCAGGCGAAGGTTCTGAGCAGCTCACCAAAGCCAGGGCCTGAACCATACACATGTAGAACCTTCAGCCTGGCGGTGCCAGTGAGCTGGAGGCACTGCCTGCTGGGGGATTTGTCATTGTAGCAGGATGGACGGAAGCCCTATGCCTGTCATGTGCAGAAACATTGAGTCTTGCAAAACTGAGAATTATTTGGTCAGTTTGACTTAGTGGTTTTTAGCGTCTCAGAGGTAGGCGTTTCAGGGAGTCACTGCCCGGCGACCCGCGATGCAGCCGGTCACCTGCCACAAGGGGGTTTGCAAAGCCACCTTGCTTTCCTGCACGTTGCAGAATGGCAGCGTGGGTTGTGGGTGGCGCGTCTCCTTCCGACGTCAGGTCCTGCACCTGGGGTAAGTGACAAGGTTTAATCCTCATGACAGTTCTCCGCGTGGTGACCCACGTGTGCTTCCTTAGGTACACGTAGCCCCCTTGGCCCTGTCCCTTGTATACATCCTCTCTGCTTCGCTTTTGACACCAGTGGTGCTACGGTCTGACTGTCCCCCCACCCCAAATTTAAGTGTTGCAGTTGTCATGGGATTAAGAGGGTGAAGACTTTGGGACCAGCAGCTGGCATAGTGGTTACATTGCTGGACTCTCATGTAGTTGACCATGGTTTGAATCCCGGACCCAGTGGTTTAAAACTCACACTGGGCATGTGCGCATGTGTGCCCCAAATCCTGAGAGGCGAATGGAGGATAAGGAATTGTGGCATGGCCATCTCTCTTGAGGGGGGTGATTTCTCACTTTTTGTCTGTCTCTCCATCTCTCTGGTGAACACACGCACCCTATAGCAACACCTCTATAAAAAAAACACTTCAAAAAAAAAAAAAAAAAAAAAGAAGAGGGTGAAGACTTCAGCTGACTATGGTATTGAAGGGAGGCTCTAGGGAGAGATTAGGATTAGGGTCATTGGCTAGAGCCCCGCCATGGAAGCCTGGTGCTATACGAAGAGGGGTAAGACGGACTCATGCGTCCCTGCTCTCTGCCCGGCAGGTGCAGCAGGAGACCCTCCAGGTCGTGAGCTGGGTAAGCCCCTATTCTCACATCACCCAGACTCAGGGATTTTCTGTTCTTAGCGACAGAACTGACTAGAAAAAGTGGAAAATAGTGAAATCACCTGAACCTTTGTTGAAGTTCAGAAAGTTTATTCCAGGTAATGCTTTGCCGAGGTTCAGAAAACGTACACGTTTCCTCCACAGAGCGTAGTTAGGATACGTTTTCTCTTTGGGATTCTGCATCCTGTCTAAAGATTTCCTTCTCAGCTTTGTCTTCTGCCATTCCCCTTCCCACGCACTGTTGGGGGCATTTTTCTAAGGCTTTCTTGCGTTTCTCTGTGAATCACACGTGCCTTGTAAACAGGAGCAGGACGACGACCTTTGTTCTAGGCTGTGTTTCAAGGACATCTGTGTAGTAAACGGGCTTGGGAGGTACAGAGAGCATCTACCCCAGAGCCCAGAGCCGTGCTTGCTTCGTTGGAAGAGAGACTGCCTTTCTCAAAAGCAGAGACCAGACACCCCGCTCACTAGAACACAGCTTTGTGTCCTCCTCCTCCCACTTCCCCCTCTAGCTCTCCTGGGGTGGTAGTCCCTAAGTATCTCTCCAAGAGCTGCTTTCATTTTGAGGAATCCCTCCAGCATGCGTTTATCTGGGAATGATTTCAGTTCTCCGTCCATTTGAGGATCATCTTGCTGGGCAGAGCACTCTTGGCTGGAATTGCTCCTCTTTCAGAGTTTTAAATACGTCTTCCCATCGTTTCCTTGCCTGCACTGTTTCAGTTGAGCGATCCAATGTTGATCTAATGGAGTAACCTTTGCAAATAACTTGGCACTTCTCTCTTGCCGTTTTTAGAAGGTTGTCTTTGTTTTGGATTTTTACCGACTTGGGCGTGCTGCGCCTTGGAGAGGATCTTCCGTTCTAGCAATTAGGCCCTTCGTATCTGCTGGGCTGGCCACCCCCAGGCCTCTCCAAGTCTGGAATGTTTCCCGCTTTACAGTATAAAAGGGGACTTCTGCGCCCTTGCCTGTTGCCCTTGCCTGTCGTTTGCCCCTCCGGAACACCATTGTGCGGCTCCTCGGCTTCGGTGGTGTCTAGGGCTCCCTGCATGCTGTCCTCATTTAATGGTTGCTCTCCCGTTCTGTTCAGTTGCTTGGACTCCACCAGAGGCTTCGTCTTCAAGGCCAGAGACCCTTCTCTCCCGCATGGTCTAATCTGCTGTTGATACTGTCGGGGAGGTTTTCATTTCCTGCTTCATATTCTCTACTGGGGTCCAGCTCCCTTTAAACACCAGCCCATGGCGGGCTCCAAAATAGCTCTTCACACAATTTGTTGTTGTTGTTGTTGATGTTTCCTCAACATAAATTTGTCGAATAGCTCAGTCTACTGGTGTGAATTTGCAAGGCTGACATTTTCAGAATCTACAGAAATTCCAGGAGGAGGTCAGACTTGAGAAAAGTACCCTGGCTTGTCTGTCAATAACCTGTCACTTTCAGGATGGAAATCTCACCATTGAGCTGGAAGTGGTACGCGAATACTTGCAGTTTCCGTTTTGAGCACGAGGTGGCGCCAGTACTCCAGGGTTTTACCAAGTTCAGAAAACTTAAGAATTGGATACTTCATAGTCTTTTTTTTTTTT